ACTAACTAAGGTTCGTTAACTGCCTTTTGCTATCGAGTGCCCCGCGTATCGCTCTCGTTGAGTTATCGGAAGAGCTCAGAATAGGTCCCCAGGTGTTCGAATCTTGGTAAGCAGGTAGCCTTAAATAATTTGAAGTGGCGAATGGTTGACGATACTTTTAAACTTTTTAGAGCGACCCTTGATACTATATAATACCAGGGCTGTAAAATCGGAGTTGTCAAAATTCCGCCGACTCCGACTCCTTTTTAGTTACCAACTTGTTATGTATATAAAATGGAAAAGTATTGGAATCGTGTCAAATTTGACCCTGCAATTTTTTTCCCTTTTTTTGTAAATCTACACGTTTTGAAGACCTCCCGAACCCCTCAAAAAAGTCATTAAAGGGGGAAAATTCGCTCGCGTGTGTGTTTGCATCTAATTTGTTTAATTTCTTTATTTTCTGTTCTGAGATATTAAGCAATATCTCAAAATGGGTAAAGTTTAAGAAACGAAATGTGGCACTGTAGCTTGCGTATAAAGAAGAATCAATACTATTGAATTTTGGTTCTTAATTAAAGGTCGACAGGATGAAGACCTAAAACTGGTCATGTGTCAGGCCTCTTTATAAATATTTTACTCGTTATTAGCATTCAAAATTTAAAACTAATAAAATAAAATTCGTCTCTACCCTCAAAGTAAGCTTTTCAGCATTTTTATAATAGTACAGTAGTAGTAGTAGTTTGAACCATACTGATCACAAAATTAATTTTTTGAGTAAATTACTATCGAATAAATTAAAATTACAATAATTGTATGAAATAATATAACACCAAAACGAATTTTTTTTAATTTTTATCATCAATACTAGAATTAATTATTTTCTTGGTGAATATTTGTCTTAATATTCTGATACATGACAATTTGAAGTAATATAACACTGAAATTATTTTGAAAGGTTTTTATTTTTACGTTACAGTTTATTTAAGTGTTTCCACTTTTTCCTTCAGTTTATCTAAAGCAAGAAATTTCTGCACCTAATAATTTTTCAGGATATAAATTATTTTCAGATCAAAAATTTCTCGATTAAATTAAGATTATAAATATTTAGAAAACTTTTTATTTCATTTTAGTTTTTATAAAATATCTTGAAACAATAATCATTTCAGATATAATAATTTCAGATCA